TACGGCTCCCCGGGCTCGCTGAACCTGCTTGGCTGCTGCTTCTCGGTGAAGTGTTCGTCTGCCCAGGTTCAACCACAGCTGGTGAGTATTGCAAGCTATGGTGTGGTGATCTCGGTGTTAGTTCAGAATAAACAGATGTTGGTTTTATTTCTGGGCTCATGGCTTCCCCTCCCCCCCTGGTGTCAAAGTTAGGGTCAGGGGTGGAAGTTGTGGTCAGTCTGGAGCGTAGCTGGTCAATATGGCATTTCCACGCTCTGCCATCAGTGGTGAGTAGACGGTAGGAGCGGGGACCCGTAACTTGAGTTACTTGAGCAGGAATACAGAGGGGATCCCCAGAAATTTTTTTGCAAATACAAGGTCTCCTACCTTAAAGGCACGGTGCTTGCTGCTGGAACCCAGGGGCTTTTCCGGGGTGTAGGCAGGGTTCAAGTGGTCTAGAGGCGATCTGAGTTTCCTGGCCATAAGGAGTTCAGCTGGGCTCTTGTTGGTCATGCTGTTTGGTGTGATGTGTTGAAGGAGCAGCATTCTAGTGACTTTGTCGTGGATGTTGCCTTGTTCCATTTTCTGCAGGGTTTTCTTTGTGAACTGAACCATTTGTTCAGCCCTACCATTCGCCGCTGGATGAGCCGGCGATATGAGTGCGTGTCGGATGCCCCGTTCTGCTAAATATTGTTCAAAGGCTAAGGCAGTAAATTGGGGCCCATTGTCAGAGACCAAGACATCAGGTAGGCCGTGTGTGGCAAAGAGTCTGTTCAGTTTTTTGATGACTGCCTCAGTAGTGGTTGCTTTCATTTTATTGACCTCAAGCCAGTTAGAATACGCATCTGCAGTTATTAGGAAAGTGTGGCCTCTAGTAGGTCCCACAAAGTCAATATGAATGCGAGACCAGGGACCCCTGGGTGTTTCCCATTCTGCGGGTGGAGCTTTTGGAGGGGCTGAATGGTTTTCCTGGCATCTGTTACAAGAGGCGACCCAGGTTTCGATTTGTTTGTCCATACCTGGCCACCAGGCGTAACTTCTTGCCAGCGCTTTCATGCGCATGATGCCCGGGTGTCCATCGTGTAGCATTTGCAGGACTTTTTTTTGTAGCTTAGTTGGTATAACAACTCGGTCTCCCCATAAAATGCACCCTCTTTGTGAGAAAAGCTCTGTTTGTCTGTTTTTAAATGGCTTAAATGTTTCCTTAAGGTCATAGTCTGGCCATCCCTTCTCCACCCAGCCAAGAACTCGTGCCAAACAAGAGTCTCTTTTGGTTTCAAAGGCGATGTCCTGGGCCGTTAGTGGAGGTGAGGGAATTGTCTCAATTTGTAGTACTGGGAGCATGGGAGCTGGGTCTTCCTGTGGCTTGGGTAGTGGCAAGCGGCTCAAGGCAACTGCGTGAGGAATAGATTTCCCCAGGCGATACTTTAATTGATAGTCGTAGGCGGCTAGAAATTCTGACCATCGCGTCATTCTGGGGGAGAGAATGTGTGGGGTAGGTTTGTCGCCCACCAGAATGCCAAGTAATGGCTTATGATCCGTGATAATAGAAAATGGTCTCCCATAAACATATTCATGAAACCTTTTAATTGCAGAGACAATAGCAAGGGCTTCCTTATCTAAGTGGTTATAGTTTCTTTCTGTTTTTGACAGAGTTCTTGAAAAAAATGCAATTGGTGCTTCTGAGCCATTTGGTAGGACGTGGCTCAGGATGGCCTCCACCCCAAATGGTGAGGCATCACAAGTAACAGTCAAGGGGAGTGTCTCGTTATATTGAATTAGCACTGCATCAGAGATAAGGAGGTCTTTTACTTGTTGGAAGGCGTGTTCCTCCCGATGTCCCCAAATCCAGGAGGCCCTTTTATCGAGTAGTCTATGAAGGGGCTCAGCAACAGTTGCCTTCTGGGGTAGGAAGATGTTATAAAAGTTAATAAGTCCCAGGAAGGCTTGGAGGTCAGTTTTGTTTTTGGGTCTTGGGGCATTTTTGATAGCTGCCAATTTCTTTTCTGTAGGGTGGATTCCTTGTTTGTCAAGAAGGTAGCCAAGAAACTCCACCCTTTCTGTGCACAGCTGGCACTTTTCCTTCTTAACCTTGAGGCCAGTATCTTTGAACCTTTGTAGGACTGTTCTGAGGCATTTCTCTAATTGACTTTTTGTTGGGGCTGCTATTAATATGTCATCAAAATAGGGCACGACCCCTTTTATACCTTGTAATTGTCTCTCCATCAGGCTTTGAAAGATGCCTGGGGCTACACTTACACCAAACTGGAGCCTGTTGCATTTGAATGCACCACAATGTGTGACTATAGTTTGGGCTTCTGCAGTCTCGGAATCAACTGGCAGCTGTTGATACGCTTGGGCCAGATCTAATTTTGTGAATATTCTGCCACCCCCAAGTGAATGCAGGAGATGTTGAAGGACTGGTACTGGATAGGCGCTCTGCTGTAGTGCGTGATTGAGGGTGGCCTTGTAGTCACCACAGATTCTTAACAACCCGTCAGGCTTTATGGGGGTGACAATTGGTGTCTCCCATCGGGCGTGGTCAATGGGTTCTAACATGCCTTGTGCAATTAATTTGTCCAGTTGCTCATCAATTTTGGATTTGAGAGCAAAGGGAACTCGGCGTGGCTTTAGGCGAATGGGTGCAATGTCGGGGCGAAGATTAAACAAAATAGGGGACCCCTTGTACTTGCCTAGGCTTTCGTTGAACACTTCTCGGAAGTCGTGGACGAGGGCTGCCTCCCAGTCATCGTCTTCAGTATGATGGATGCCAGCCATTCTGATTCCTAATGGCGCGAACCACTGAAGACCCAATAGACTTGGCCGGTCTCTGTCTACGATGGTGAGTGGTAGAATTGCATTATGTCCCTTGAAAGAGACCTGGAAATGGTGGGTACCTGTGACTGGAATCCGGTTGCCTTGATAATCTTTCAGTATGAGTCTCTGACTGCTGAGGTCTTGGTGTCGGATGTTGGGAATCAGTTGCTTGAGTGTTTTCCAGGATACCATGGATAGTGAGGACCCAGAGTTGACTTCCATGATGCACGGTTTATTTTCAATGGTGACCTTTACATGTCAAGTGATGAAGCGTGGCCGATGGTGATGGTTTGATGAGCCTCCTCTCGTCTGGGTGTGCCGTTAAACCTTCGGGGTCTGCTGTACTGATTCCACTGCTTGCTAGGGCGGTCCCTCTGTGTGGTGGAGTTGCCATCATTCCTCTTTGGGCTGCTCCCTCTCCGTCTGGGGCTAGAATTTCTCTTGTTTCTGCATACCTTTGCAATATGCCCTCGTTTCTCGCAAAAATGACACATGGCGTCTAAAAATCTGCATTCGGATCGAGGATGGTTTCCCCCGCATCCAGCGCATTGGTAGTTGGATTTACGACCCCGCTGGTCCCGCTGCTCCCACTGCTCACGTTCGGACCGGAGTTTGTGGACTTCTTCCTCCTCGCTGTCTGAGGATGACTCGACATCTTCATGATGGGTGGTCAATGTGTACTTGTCTGAAGGTTTCCCAGCATCATTGGTGGGTTGGCGGTTGGTTCCGCTGGTTCGGCGCATTCGTGCTGCTGATTTACGAGTGGCTTCAGCTGCGGTGGCGTCTGCTCTGGCATCTGCAAGCGAGATGTCTCCCTTGGCCATGATCTTGCTCTGGACAGTTGGATCTCTAAGGCCAAGGACGATTCGGTCTCTCATGGCTTCTTCGAGATTGGCGAAGCCACATAAACCGCCCAGGTTCCTCAGGTCTGCCACAAAATCCCCAATGCTCTCACCTTCACGCTGGTCCCTCTGATAGAACTCGTGTCTGCGAATGAGAGTTGGTACTGCTGGGGCCTAATGGTTGTGCAGGATGGGAGCAAGGGTGTCCCAATCCGTGGTTTTAACTTCATCTGGCTTCGCTAAGGCTTTAGCCATCTTAAAAACGGCTGGCCCACAATGGGTTAGAAAAACGGCTCGTTTCTTGCTGGGCATGGCATCCTTGAGGTTGTTGGACTCTAGGAACATTTGAAATCTGTCCATATATGAGTCCCAGTCCTCGCTAGCTGGATCGAATGGGGCGGGTGGTATAGCGCTGCTGGCCATGTTGCCGTCGTTGCGCTCTGTCAGCCACATCCTCCTTCAGCTAGTTCAAAATCAGTAGACTTCGTTGTCTCCGTATCCCATCCTTGTCGCCAGTGTTAGATCTGGGAGGATGGTTCAAGAACGGAGGCAAGACTCAGATAACAACAACAGCTCTTTATTAGTGACTTCAGATCTGAGCAAACTATCCCAGCCGCAGCAGCCCCTTATATAGGGCTGGCTGCGGCTAGGCAGCCAATGAAGGCGATTTGAGTTTGCCGCGCTTGGCAGGGCCAATCGCGGCAGCCCATTTACTGGCCAATCGCATCAGTCTATGGCGACCAATCACGATCGGCTATTCGTGGGCCAATCAGAGTTGCAGGCTTTCGAGCCTGCTAGTCTGGAACAGAGAGAGAGAGAGAGAGAGAGAGAGAGATGGTATCCTGCGATCCCAAATAAAGAATGATCAATTGGAAGAAAAACAGGGTGGGGGATTTTCCTTCAGACTTTTTTTGGGATTTTCCTAGGGCCTCTGCTGCTTCTGCTTTTTCTGCAGAGACCCTGGAAAAGTCCCCAAAAAAGTCTGCAGAAAAAATGCTCACCCCGTTTTCCTACCAATCCATCATTCTTTATTTGGGATCGCAGGATACCATCTCCAGCTTCATTCTCAGGGGGAGAGAGACAGAGAGAGAGAGCTTAATGCAAGGAAAGCAGCAGAAGTAGCAGAAGTCTTTTTTTTCTCCCCCAAACTCCACCAGAAGTGAGTCTTTGTGAGACTTTTCACATCAGTGCAGCCTCTTGGAGCAGGATGCCTTGCAGGGTCCCAAAGACTCATTTCTGGTGAAGTTTGGGGGAAAGAAAGAAAGACTTTTGCTGCTTTCCTTGTGTGCTGCCAAAAGCAGAAGAAGAAAGAAGTTGAAAGAAGCAGCCCAGTAGCCAGGCAAGCGCGTGGGTCAAGTTCACCCCCTCCGTCCTTTCTCACCTCCCCTCACTACCTTGTGTTGTTCGCAATGCAAGCAACGCAAGCCTTGTGTTCCCACGGGCCATGTGGGTGGAGCACCTTGTGTTCCCACATAGCCTGGATTAATTGCTTTGTGGGGGTGCTTTGGGGATGACATTTCTCTATGGACCACCAAAATTTTCTCACGGACCATCAGTGGTCCACAGCCCACCAGCTGGTGACCGCTGTTCTAGAATAAATGAGTGTAATCCTCTATGCTGGGAAATGTGTTTTCTTTCTGTTTTTGATGTTATTACATGTATTATGGAGATTGCATTTAAATGTATACAGTAATTGTGATCTATTTTACGGTGTGTCTGTTTATCTTTACAGTATTAGCAATTCAGTTCCCTCCAAAAAAGAACAGAAGTTAATCACAGTGTTATATTTTGAAATGGCATAGCATAGAATTACCAGATTGTAAAGAGAAGAGGAAAAAGGAAGTTGATACAAATGTTTGGAATTAAATGCTTGTCCTCAGTAAAAACTAGATACAGATCAGAGTGAAAACAAGCAATAACAGAGGAGAAACCTTATAGAACAGACTGTCAGCAAGATTGATGCAATTGTTTCCATGCAGATTCATACAGATGTGCTGTCCCAGACATGGAACATTCGTGGGGAGGTGTTTCATTTATTGTTTGGGATCCATCCATTAGTTGACACAGGAATGTAGGGCACAGGATTTCTCTTTGGGAATGCATTAATAAGGTGGTGCTCTCATCTCTTCTGTTTGAGTTGCATTTTGATGGAATATTCTTATTCCTATTTTTTTCTATCTTTTTCTCTTTGCTTTAAAAGTACAACATAAAACATAGTTTACAATTAATTTTAGAAACCATGTAGAACTGAATTAAGGCACAGCCAAGTGGTTCCATTCAGATGAAATCCACCAGTCTTTGAGCCAGCAAGAAAGTATGCCAGCATCAATTATGTGACCCAGGCAGCTGAGCTCTATTCTGCCTCAATAATGAAACTGGTGAGTAGTGCTATGTTTAAAGAATGAATCCGGGATGAGTTAAAGGAAACGATTGGTGAATTCCCTGGCTTTGTTTCTGTGGCTGCCAAGTGTCACCTGAACCAGAAAAAAACAACCACCAATCAGTCTTCTTAACATGGGAGGGAACAGGGCAAGAGAAATGGGTGCTTTGAATGGTAGGTTAAGTCATCTGCAAAATTGTATAAATTATAAATTACAGATATAAAGTGTTCTCTTTCTATGATTTGTCATTCAGCAACTTCTGAGCAATGAGCTACTGATTTTCTGAAAGAGCGCTAAACTCATGTCACAGGAATGGGGGAAGAACTGACAATCAATAACAAGCAAACTCTCTCTTGTCTAGTGCTACAAAGAAATAGCTGGACAAGCAATGAAATTTGTGGCAGACAACACCCTACAGTGTCCCATCAACTAGGCAAAATGGCACTCTACTTTTGTAAATAAATAAATAATAGTAAAAAGTGCGATCATACCAAATCAGCAGTTAGAACTTGCAAATTTCAGTTCTACATAAAATAAATGACTTTTTTCTATTCCCCACTTATATTTCTTTTTTTTAAGATTTTTTATTTTTATTTTTTACACATCTCTAGGTAAGCAACATGATTCCAGATTACAACATTTATACATAGTCATAATTACATTTCCAGCTTTCTTATATAATTTCATATCAAATCATTATCTATTCCACTGATCTTTAAATAAGTTCTCACTTAATATTTCAATTCATTAATTCAGTATCAAAAACATTTCATCCTCACATATATTTTCCACTCTTTATCCCCTATTATTTCCATTTTCAGCTTACCACCTATTTTATTTTACATTATTCATTATTATCTTCATTAACTTTCTCAAAGCCGATATATAATAAACAAACAAAAAAGAATAAAAATAAAATAAAACTAATATATTCAGGATCCACACAGGATCCAGTCTACAATAAATCTTATATTTATTCCAGAGATATTCATATAACCATTTCATATTTTTTCTTTGTTTTCACTTAGCCAAAGTTTACCTATGAAATTTTATTAAATTTTCATTCCCCTCTTTTTTAATCATAATATAATACTCTCATTACAAATACTTTACTTTCCAATATAATCCTTTCTGGTTTATCATATTCTCTATTTTCTCGTATCCTTTATATAATCAATTACATTTTTATTTCATGTCTAATATAATATGTATACAATAAAGAAAGAGAAAAAAAGAGAAAATTAAGTGTCCTTTTTGTTTCCATATAACCAAGTTTAACCTATAAAATTTTATTTAATTTTCATTACACACTTTTTGGTCATAATAGCATAATCTTTTCTAGCTTACCATATTCGCTGTTTTTCTGATATCATTTGAATAATCAATAACACACACACACATATATATACACGCACACATATACATATATATACAATTTGATAACAATAAAGCCATTTTGATTTCTCTTACTCTATCACCATTTTTCTTATATATAATTATATAATAATCTTAAGGTAATTCCCAATAAGTTTTAAACTTCAAATCTCCCCAATCTACATTTCTAAAATACGAAAATATATTTCCATGTGGTATTCCCCCTTTATATTATTTTTAATCCTTATCTCTAAATCTCTCAGCCTTATAGTTTTTTATAATTTTGACCAGTTTTTCCAGTCTTTCCTCTTAACTCTTCTTTTTTCCTCTAGTATTGTTTTTATTTTCATCTGCCAATCATTTATTTTCCCCCCACCCTTTCCTGTTCTCTCTTTTGGAATTTCTTCTTGTACAGCTTCTTCTTTTGTTTAATCTTGGAAAGTATTTTCCCTTTTATTTATTACATCTATCATAAATGTCTTAATTTTGATTCCTTTTATGTCCTTTTGCAATTTCCCCTGTTCTTTGTGCTCTTCTAAGCTGCTTTCCTCTTCCTTTAACTCCTCCTCCTTTTCTTTGTTCTTCTGTGAACTGCCTTGCAATTAATTTTTCTGCCAGTATGTCTAATAATTCTATTCTTTCTTTTAATATTCCTCTCACAGTTTGCAGTTCCAACTTGAATTCTTTGCCTATTTCTTCTATTTTTTAAATCAGTTGAGTTATTCTTTATTTTATTAAAAGTCAGAGTCTTTTATTTTTGTCCATGCCAAAAATATCTGTTTATCTCAATTCCTCTTGTTAATTCCTCTGTCTCCTTGTCACAATCAACACCAAACAGTCCCAATATATTATCTTCACTTGTACCTTTGCTGCAACTCCCCCCTTTTTTGGTGCTTCCGGGGTTATTGTTATAAAGTTTTTTATTTCATTTCATTTCTCATTCATACATTTGTAAGACCAGTAATTTTCCATGAAATCATGAGAAAAAGTGTATTTAACCATTAGACGGTGCTCTACATTGCTTTCCACTTTTCAAAGTTCTTTTTTCTCTTTTCAATTGAATTAATTCCGCTAATTTTCAACAGTTAGCTCTTTTAACTATAGTCAATTCCGGGAAAGTCCAGCATTCTATCCAATGCTTAATTAATGCCAATTTCTATATCTTATTCCAAATTTGGTCTCTAATTCTGTTATAGGCCTTTTATAATCCATTTTTTAATTTACCTTATAATTTCCTCTTATTTTCCATTCGCCACTGCCACACTCTTAAATGAGGGCTCTTTCCTTCTGTTTCTCAGGGTTATCAAAAAAAATCCAAAACCCTTTGCCTGATTACATGCCACTCACTGCTTCACTGCTCTAGAACACTTAAGTCCCTGAAGCTTTCCGTCTTCAGGGCAACCATTAAAACTTCTGCTATCTCCTGTCTTCAGGGGGAGTATACCTAGCCAGGGAGGGGAGATGCGGCTCCCCTCAACCTAGCTGGTGGTTTCCCCCTCTTCCCCCACTCCTCCAAGGTGGGTCCGAGATGGATCTTGTCCTGCTGGGACCCTCCAACAAGATAAGCACAGATCAAAGCCATGCACAATTGCAGTCTTTGGTCCATCTTCAACAGAAGTGCCACTGGAAGTTCCCCCCACTTATATTTCAATATGCACCTCCTGCCCAAATTTTAAACTGAACCATTTTAATACTATATTATAATATCTATAGTATAGCATAATATACAGTATCTTTCCCTTGAAAAATATTCCACTGTAAATTCTCCCTTAAAAGAAATTACTCTGATTATTCCCATTTTTTGAAAATGTTTTTTAAAATGGATGTCAAAATGGATGTCAAATTGAGTGGGAAGGTCTATTCATTCTTAGCTTTCTATGGAAGTTTGAAAGATACATTGTTTGCAGGAAATATAAATTATTAGCACATTTCTGAACATTGTGCCTTAAGTAAAAGTAGATATCATTTGAAAAGTGGTACAAACGTCTTTTTTACAAATGGTATACCTATTTTGAGAATGTGTAGAATCAAAATTGTCCTCATTTTTAAAGCACATGTGGCCATTTTAGATTGTTGAAAACACATCAAATAAATATTTTAGTTTTTGAGCACCATATGGTTGACACTTCCCATTGCTGTGCCAGCTGCCAATTTGTTTGTTGGTGTTTCAGTTTCAAATCACTGTCTCACAGACAAAGAATACACACATATTCCATTTTTTCTAGATGTGTATCTCTGAATTCAGTAGCAATATCAATAGCACTTAGACTTACATACCACTTCATAATGTTTTACAGCATTTTCTAAATGGTTTACTGAGTCAACATATTGTTCCCAACAATCTGGGTCCTCAGTTTACCAACCTCAGAAGGATGGCTGAGTCAACCTTGAACTGGTCAGGATCAAACTCCTGGTGTGTGGGCAGAGTTAGCCTACAACAGTGTTCTAAGCACTGCATTCTAACCATTGCACTACCAAACACCACTAAAGCTTCTGAGTGCAATTTAAAGAGCTGATTTTAACCCTATAAAGCCCTCAATGACAGGCACCAGGTTGTCTGAAATTATTTGCTCCAACATAGGAAGGGGACAATATGAGAAGGCTTATATAGATGATAATTCAGTTCATATATTATGATAATCTTTCATTCTGCATATTTCAGAAATGATGTATTTTAGTATCAATCTGCTTGATGGGCAGGTTACGAAAAACTCTGGGAGCTGTAATTCAGTACATTTAGAGAACATTATAGTGGCAGATGATTGTGGGTGCCTGTGGCTCACACAAATGAAGCTTCAGATGCACACCCTTGCCCATTGACCCACTGCTTGTGAAAGTGGAGTTGCATGTACCCTTGCCCACAGCTTCTGAGGCCCAGTTCTGAACAGGCTATGGCAGAGGTGGGCAAACTACGGCCCGCGGGCCACATCCGGCCCGTTGGTCTGTCCAATCTGGCCCGCCCCTGAAAAAAAAATCGCTGGTCGTGGCGTATTGCCCTGCGCCGCATGGCCCCCAAAGCTGCAAAACAGCGCGGAGCGCTCTCGGGGTAGGAAAGAAAAGAACTTCGCAAAGGCCTCGGCTGGGAGTTCGAAATCACCTTTGAGTGCGACCTCTCCGAAGGTGAGCCCCCGCCGATCCCCTTTTTTTCCCAGGGCTTCCAGGCTTAAACTTTGCAAAGGCAAAGTTTGCAGGCTGGAGCGTCTTCCTGAGGAGTGGGAAGGGTTCCACCTGGCAGGCGGGCTGGCTGCTTGGAGCAGGCTGCTTGGAGCCACCTAAAGCTAGGCTGCTGCTGGTGGAGCCTTGCCCTGCCTTGGTGCCCCATTTCCCAGCTTGGCGGTCCTGCTTGGGCGGCACTTTAAAAGCCTGCTCCCAGCACCCGAGCAACTTCCTGGCAACTTTTGGCTTCCTTTTAACTCGCGGGTGCTCGCGCCTGGCCCCAAGCCGTGCGGTGGAGGGGAAACCTGGAGCGCCACCGGGTCACCTCCTCCAAGCAGCCTGCTCGCCCGCCGGGCGGAACCCTTCCCGCTCCTTGGCGGGAAGACGCTCCTGCCTGCAAACTTTGCCTGTGCAAAGTTTAAGCCTGGAAGCCCCAGAAACCCGAGCAACTTCCCAGCAACTTGCGGCTTTCTTTTTCCTCGCGGGCACTCACGCCTGGCCCCAAGCCACACAGCGGAGGGGAAGCCCCACGGGCGGGCGGGCAGGCTGCTTGGAGGAGGCGACCCGGCAGCGCTCCGGGCTTCCCCTCTGCCATGCGGCTTGGGGCCAGGCACAAGCGCCCACGAGTTAAAAGGAAGCTGAAAGTTGCTGGGAAGTTGCTTGAGTTTCCGGCGCTTCCAGGCTTAAACTTTGCACAGGCAAAGTTTGCAGGTGGGAGCGTCTTCCTGCCGAGGAGCGGGAAGGGTTCCGCCCGGCAAGCAGGCAGGCTGCTTGAAGAAGGCGACCCGGCGGCGCTCCAGGCTTTCCCTCCGCCGCGCGGCTCGGGGCCAGGCACGAGCGCCCGTGAGTTAAAAGGAAGCCGAAAGTTGCTGGGAAGTTGCTCAGGTGCTGGGAGCAGGCTTTTAAGAGCTGCGCCCCAAGGAGCAACTGGCGTCCGGAGCATCCAGGACTGGCAGTGGCAGCGAGGGGTGATCAACAACACTGTTCTCATTAAAATATGTTAATACTTTAATGCTTTTTTCTGTTTATGTTTGCTATGTACTGTTGACAAATGCAGTTTTTTATATGTATCGTATCTTGTGCTGACCCAGCCCGTCTGCCAAATTTTAAAAGTCAATGCAGCCCCCCGAGCCAAAAAGTTTGCCCTACCCCTGAGCTATGGCCTGGTACTAAGTCCTGGCCTGGGGGACCCCTGTTATATGAGAAAGGCTACACCAAACTCTCCATAAAGTTTCTTAAGATCCTTTTATTTCACTGTTGATTGGTATATTATAGGAAATATATGATATAACCATGGCTTCTAATAAATGCCCATGAAAACAAAAAGCTTTCTTGTTTTTTTCCCCATCTGAAAATGTGAATAAAGCATCTAATAGTTCAATGAGTTAGGCTGTTAGGACTGTTGCAAGAAATTTAGGTGTGTCAAAATCTTAGTGTCACATCCACTAGCTATAGGCTAATTTCAATTGTTCTTGGCAGCAGCTAGTATTGAGTATCAAGTGGATCAAAAGTACTGGTTATTCCAATATAATAGACCAGATGATAGATTGGTTTCAGTTTTTAATATCCCTGACTATCAATTAGATTGCTTGAACTGATGGAGCTTCATCACTATCTGAAAAACCTTGTTGAAGTGTTCAGTATTGGAGATTAACACTTCAACAAGAGAATAA